ATTATACTGCTCTTATTTTCTGTTTGATGAGATCTTCTAGTGTCATGTCATGGTAGGGCATGTCCACTTGCTATCACCTGTCGCACACTGTCCTATCCAGAGATAAAACCATATGCAAGACAGTCATATGCATTCCTTGCATAAACTTCAATATGTCCAGCGATACATGTCTACGCTCAAAAAAGTTAATATCTGAGAAAATAGGAATGAAGAAGTGCACCTTTCCCAAGGAAACTCTTTTAATTGTCCTTTTTTTTTTTTTTTTTTTTTTTTTTTTTTTCAGAAAACATAATTCTACTTCTTCAGGCCCTGAGAAAGCTCTGTCTGTTACATACACAAACTTACAAGCAGCTCTGGGATTCCTGAGTTACTGAATTTAGATTTCTCCTTGGTTTTCCTGACAGCCTTTTAGCTTTTCTCAGATGAGCTTTTAAGCATTTTCAAGACTTAAAGACTGGCTCTCAGTGAGAAACAAATTCCACAATTCACATGCTAAGCATCTGCCAACCCCATATTCACATTTTCTGTAGTGTTTTATGTAATCTCCTGCCTGAGTGTTGATCATTGTTCCTCCTTCCACCCTCTGCATGGTGTAGTGTCCCACGTGCTCCTGGAATGTTGTGTGGCAACAAAGGCTTCTATTGTATGAAGCTGGGGAAACTAGCATCTCTTGCTAGACAATATGCTGCTGAGAGGTTATTAAGATAGCTTGAAACATCTACTAAAGGGAAAAAATGAACAGAGGATTCATGACTGAAATAAATTTCCAAAGAGACATTACTTATATTTATTATACTCTTAAGGATTGAATGATGTCTGAAACATGAAGACCAAAACAATAATTGGCATCTGGCTACTTTTGCAAAATGATGGCTGTTTTCTAAAGGTAATGTAACGTAAGAAAAACTAATACAGCTATTATCTGGGTGGAGAGGGACGATACAGAGTGAAATGAAATTATAATGTATGGGAGGGTCACAGCTCTGCAGATAGGCCCAAACAGATAGTTCTGCTTTGTGCTAATAGGAAGCTACAGCCCCTATACCGTCCCATCGTCAGGAGATCTGCTCTTGTTTAGGCACAAGACCCATGGGATTTAAGTGTAGCTGTGACATAGAGAATGGAACAGGTCTTACAGATCAGAATTCAAAAATGAGCATGATCGCACACACTTCCCAGCCGGGGAAATTTCTGCGAGGTTAACTCTGTGCTCTGGTAGGCTACTACTGTGTTTTGGTAGGTCACTGCTGCTTTCTGCAAAACAAGGTGATGCAAGTTCCTGGCCGCACCCACATAATGAAAATCCAGTGAAACTTTTCCTCTGTGTTGAAGCATCGACGTGGAGAACCTTTCCTGGCCCAGGAGGGTGGGGTGTGGGGCTGCATTGTGTGCAGCAGGTAGGCCAAGATCACAGAATTCTTTTACGATTTGCTGTTCTCTCCTCCCACAAGTACAAACCAACCCAGATTACTATGCTGCTTTGATCTTCCTCATTCTTATGCATGTTGAATAGATTAAGTGTGGCTTTAACAAAGGAAAAAGGAAATGGCAATGCATGCCTTTTGTATAAATTGCAAATGTATTACACCAAGACAATTCTAGAACAACACCTTCCAACATAACCAGAAGCTGATCGCTCTCCCTGTGACAGATTTACCATTTTCACACAAATGAAATTACACACAATGTGAAATTACTTCTCTTTACAACTGTTTCATGTGGTTGAACTACAACTGAAATGTACCATTGAAAAGTGTATATGAAACTAAGTAAAGATGCCTGTATATTCCTGTGGCTGTGGTCAAGAATGTGGAACCCCATTGCTTTTAGTATTAAGTATTTTTTTTATTTTTAAAGTGCTTGACTACATTAAAGGCAGTAAAAGAAGTGGATCTGCTTTATACCCATGTGAGATTGCTTGGGATGCTTGAAATAAATATATTCCTAATGAGATATATTTGTTTTGTAATCTTTTTAATTAGAATTATTGTTCAGAATATTATACTTACTATGAGTATCGGCATATTATGTGCATTCTGCTCCTGATGCCAGCAGGAGGTTAATGCTTGCATAGAGGTGACAATCTACAGAATGTAGGAGATCATGAAGTCACAATTCTCTCAGAGCAAGACAGAAGCTGAAGTATTCCTGGTATGATATAGCAAGATCTTACGCAGCTGATTTGTATACAAGCAGATGTATCAGGAGGTTGGTGTGGCTAAAAGGGGGCTGTTCCTGGTGTACCAAAAAGGTAGAAAAGAGGAGGTGGAAGCAGGGATGGGCAGCAGTGGAATAATTTTGAAATGCTACCTTAGTATATAGGGCAGCATTAGGAAATTCAAAGCTTAAATGAAGTTGAGACTTGCATAGGCGAGGGCAACAAGAACAACTTCTACCACTTTCTGTATCAATCAAAAAAGGCTGAGCAAAGAAAATGTAGCTGAACGAAGCAGGTGATGCAGTGACAGCAGACACCTGAAAATGAAGCATTCTATGGTCTCTTTGCCTTCCTTATCAACATGTTATCCCATTCTTCTGTGCTTAGGGAAAGTGTTCACAGAATGATTAGCAATAGCTGATGGCTGAGTAAGGGATTTCCTGTGAGAGTTTCATCAGAAAACTCCATGGGACTAGACGGAAGGCATCCAAGGTCCTGAGGAAACTGGTTGCAAGGCCTTTCTAACTTGGAAAGGTTATGGTGAACATAGCAGTTTCCTAATATCTGGAATAGGCAAACGTTCCTTCATCACAAACGCCAAAAGATAACCTGGGTAGCTTTAAAATCATCAGCATCACATTGGTCCCTAAGGAACTTAGAGTAGCCCTCGTGGAGCGTGTAAATGAGAAGAAGCTGACTGAGAACAACCAGTTTGGATTTTCTAAGAGTAAATCATGCCTGACCAGCCAGGCTGCTTTCTGCAATAAAATGACTGGAGCTGTGGATGAGGGGGAGCAGTGGATGTCATTTATCTCAACTTTAGCAAAATTTTGACACTGTGTCTCCAACAGTATTTTTGTATCCAATTTAGGACATTATGGTCTATACACTGGAACTGTCACATTTAACATCTCTCAATTAGCTGGAGGATGTGGCAAAGTCAGGTTTCATTAGGTTTCACATGCCACCAAATTGGAGGGAACAGCCAATACACTCACAGGAAGGCTGCCATGCAGAGGAAACCAGCTTGGCTGGAGGGTTGGACTGACAGGAACCTTAAGGAGCTCAGCAAGGACAAATGCAAAGTTTCCTGCATCTAGGAAGGCAGAACTGTAGATGGAGACAGGCTAGTGCTGACTTTACAGAGAAGTCCCCTGGGAAATCTGGCAGACAGCGCTGTCTATGACACAGAATGGGGCCCGGCAGCAGAGAAGGCTCACAGCACCCTTGACTGTGTTAGCAGGGCACTGCCAGGAGATTGAAGGGATTTTCCTGCCAGTCATCACTTATTAGTCCACATCTAGCCACTGTGCGCTTTTAAGCAACCCCATTCAGAAAAGGCATGGGAAACTGGCATTTTCTGCTGAGGATAGTGAGGAGGAGGTAAAAGAAATGGATTTATTCAGCCTATAGAAGTCACTTCGCATGAACCTGGCAGCTGTTTGCTGGGACCTGTAGGAGAGTCTTTGAGAAAATGAAGCAAGGCTCTACACAGTGGTGTCTGGTGTAAGTACAAGTAACAGAGGGTATAAATTGAAACAAGAAAGTTTCAGACTGGGTATGAGGAAAAGAAAAACATGGGAAAAGCATAATATTGGGATTAGGTAAAATGGTTTAAGTACCCTACGCCAACAGACCACAAATCCTGAATAGTCAGACACCATTTCCTGTGCTCCTGGATCCAGCCACTTCATGTAGAAACCTAAGAACCTTTACCCACCACAGTGATTTTCCATTGGCTAGCAATGAAACCTGTGATATAACCCAAATTCTTAATTATAACTGGCATATTTTTCCTGCAAAACACAGCTATAATCTTTGAGTTAGTGCAAGCTTAAGCTTGTGTCTGCATGGTACAGTGCTATATGGACTTACCTGCCAGGTTTCCTGTATGGTGTAGTGTCTTATTTGGCTTGGCCTATTAGCTAGACTTCTTGGCAAAATTAACTGAGACCCAGTGATGCAGGAATGGTTTGCATGAGCACATGATCTTGAGTATGCCTTGCTAGTTTGAAAATCTGTGCTGTTATCCTCTGCTGTCCCTCTTCTGTAGTAGCAAAGAAGCAGCCAGCCAGGGTCTACTTGCCCAGTGAATGCACAGTGGCTAAAAGGGTTGTTTTTGTTTATTTTTTCTATTTAAGAAAGAGTGAAACTGGTGTGGTCAGTGAGGTGGAGGCTTGAGGCAGTTGCGGCCTCTCCACTGCAGAAACCCAGCCCAAGTTCCTCACTTATTTCCCTCAACCATGGGAAGTCATTCCTTCCTATGTATCAGGCATGGTCCTGGGTTACTTGTAACTTGCTGTCTGCTAGAAGGGTCAATGGAATCCAGCTACCTTTTTATTACTTTGATCCTAGCTTCAATCTAGACACTTGTTCCTTAATTTTGTATGTAAAGGAGACTGCCTGGTCAAATCTTAGGCAGAACTTGATCCTACAGCAAGAGTACTTCTGCTGCTTTACCTTCTCCTAGCTTTAAGGTTCCTCCTAAAGAACAGGAAAATGGCCTACTAATGATGGTTGTCAGCATAAAAGGAATGATTGGATTTTGTCTGCCAGTGATTCCAATATGGTCAGACAGTTTCACAATGTAGACCCCTCCACTCCAAATCTGGCAAGCGTGTTTTGATACATTTTAGGTGAGAGGTAAGGATAGGGAGGATGGGAAGGTATTAGTGTGATCGTGTCTACCCACTGGAATGTCAGTGTGCCATTTCCTCATGACTAGTAAGAACTGACATACTGTGAGTGTCTGGACCTGACTTTGCAAAAGGCAGTACTTTTCCTCAAGAAACTTCTTCCATTAATTCTTTATCATTAATCATTAATGATTCTAAAACCCAAATAATTTAACAAGTTTATTACAGTAGATCCTAAAAAGTGTAATTCTGCTTGATGTCAGGGAGTATAAATTCTCAGGGAAGGAACAATTCAGGATGAGGTACATTGTGCTAAGCAAACCTGTTTGCTGAAGTACGCTCATAGCATAGTTGGGAAGCAATGAAAATATACGTGGTCACACACCTGCATTCTTGGGACTGAATAGTTCCCTGGAGGGTGTGTAGCAACACAGGTAATTTCCTGCTGGTAACAACAAATGGTTTTCTGGAATAACAAGTAGCCGATAAACTGGCTTACAAAAGTAGCTCTGAGTCACAGAGCCTCCTGGAATGCTTTGGTGTTGGCCACTGCTCAGAGATGAGCTTGAAGGCAAACTACCAGCTGGAAAATGGTACGGAGGATTTTACTGTCAAAGAGCAGGCTGGCTAAGTATGACAGCTGTCTCATTGCCTTTGCAATGCTGTATACAGCTGCAAAAGGGAAACTTAGAGCTGACCCTCTCCACTGCTTGCTGATGGGACTGCCTTCATGTCCAGCTCTTTATATCCAGAGAAACATTTTGCAACTAATGCTGAAAGTGACCTGCAATGTGCATTGGCTGCACTATGACTAGTGCCCAGTGTTCTCAGCTTCCAGATAGCATTTTTTCCTTTTTAGTCCCAAGTGGGGGAGAAAATATACACTTCCTTGTAGAGAATCGGGAGTCTTTACTAGCATCTCCTGCTGTGAGGAAAGGTGAGACTTTTAAGCAACGTGTGGAAAGACTAACAATAAACAGGATCACTTCTGAAGGTAAAAAGGATGTTGTGTCTCAGAAGCATCCTGGACTTCAGAACAGTCCTGGCAGTGGTGTCGTAGAAGCCATGTGAATGTGAGCTCTTCCACTGTATGCAGGAATGTGTTCCTTTGCTATTATCAACATATGAAAATCTGATCCATTATGAACATGCTGACATGGATAACTGAGGAGCCAGGCTCTGACAGCAAATTCTGCACTGTTCCTACAGCAGTGGCTGTGCTTCCTTTGTATTGTTTTCTTTATGTTGGACTTTTCTAGATTCTTGCACAGCTTTTTTGAAGGCATCAGAGGCTAGAAGTGTTCCTTCTGTTCTCAGGTTGCAGGCAAGCTGTGCAGACCTGCAGAACTGCCATTGCTTTGTTCCTCACACCTCAGCCAACCAAGCAGGTGATTAAGTGAGAAGCAGAGATAAGTGAGTCCTCCGCTGCATTAGTGAAATCATGTTTGCCTCCACGTGCTTTAAATTTTCCCAACCACCCTCAATTACACATAAAAATGAAATAAAAATTCACAGTTGGCTGGATGCCCCCTGCAGACCTGAGCTGGCTTTATGGTCACTGCCGTATCGCATTAGTTAGTCTTAGTTAACCCAGTCTATGCTAGATTCAGCCCTGTCTTTGTTTATCTGCATTCCCTACAGTGCATGAATGAGGAGCGGTTATTGTGTGTACAGAAGGTGCCAGACATCTTTTGTTGCATATTTATTTTCTCTTCTTGAGGAACTCACAGATAAAGTAGATGGTGACTTGACACTCAGAGTCATTCCACTCTCCTGTGCTGAGCATTTCCACGCAGTCCTCATGTCCTGTGGAGTCGTGAGGCTCCCCATCCTTCCAATTACTGTAGTTTTGCAGTGGGCTGCTGTCTGCATATACAAACTGCCCTTCTTTTTCTATGTCATTTATTCCGATGAATGCTCGGAAAAGGCCACTTGAGGAGATGTAGTTGGCAAGAAGGGCGTTGGTTGCCTCATCTTTAGGCATGGCCAGTATTCCTCCTCTGTCTCTGCAGTGCATCACGGCTTCTCTGTAATTCTTCTCTTCTTTGACAATATAGTAGAATTTTTCATCCGTCTCCCTGATACCTGCTATAACTTTAAAGGGGAAAAATAAATCTTTAATGGCATTTTAACAGCTATTGAAGGTTCTTCTGTTCCACTATAACTAGAAGATGGTTTTTACATTAGCATTAATGAAAAGAAGATAGGTAAATTGTTCCCACCACTGAATTTAGGGTGAACAATAAAGACATGATCAGAGACTGATGCTACCAGTAGGAATGACAAGAACCTTACATACATTCAGTCCTGAGTGGCATGTGTCCCCTGTGACTGTTTTGTACTGGACATCCTTGAAGTTACCAAATCAAGGCATACTGAATGGACAAGTAGCAATGAATAACTCTGGATCACCCTGGTTGCTTCGTATACTATTGCTATATTGTGTTCTAGATTGTGGAAGAGTGCTGTGAGATAGCAAAATGGGGGAATTGAATAGCTGGTGCCTTTTCAATGTAGGTGAAAGTAAAAGAGACTACTAAAATAAGTCGTTTTAAGTAGTGCCTGATGTTCACAGCTGATGTAGCCACTAAGGGACACTGAATAGGAAGAAAAGTGTAGCTGCTCAGCAACTTTAAAAGGCAGATCTCTCAGGCAGCAGATATCCTAGTGAATTTAGCAGTGCCAAGAAGCATTCCTGGGTAGCTGGTGCTAGTCTGGATTGCTGGAGTAGTCCTAGTCACAGCTTTGGCTGCAGGCAAATAACAATCCCCGAATTGTGGAGCTACTCCAGAAACAGTCAAGGAGTTAGCAGAGAACCACTCAGTTCTGTAGGATTTACCAATACAGATGAGAGCGTGCCAGTTGCCCATAGAACCAGAGAGTTGCCTCAGACACATTTAATTTCCAGATTAGATTGAGTCCAATAAGTGGTTGTGGAGCCTTTCCAAAATCTCTGCTACAACAGGAAATGCTCTTCTTTCCTTTCAAAAGGGGCATTTTGCACTGTTCTGCTGTCAGCACTGCCTATAGACGTGACTTATGATAACCCGTGTCTTTGGGGTGTTGGTATCTCCCTTATTACAGAGAAAGATGCTTTCAGTGAAGGGAGGCATGAGAGGAGCACCGTGAAAGAATGCAGCTCTTCTGTGCAGCAGCAGCAAGATGAAGAGGTTCCTAGAGCTTTTTCTGGCTCTATGGATCAGATTGGCACAACTTTTTCCCTTTTGTTGTGTGAATGGCCATTGAATCTGAGGGTGAGCAGGCTTAAAGTGCAGAGGCAGTTAGCAAGCTGTGTCTTGTTCTGTCATGATTATTTCTGCTGTGCTATTGATCATTGCTGTTCTGTAGTTGCTTTCACCAGCTGCTCATATTCTTACAGGTACCAGACTTTCTTTTCTGTATGCTTTTGGAATGCCTCACACAGTGGGACCCTCTGTCTTGGCCTGTATGCTGCTGTAGAACAGCAGTAGTGGGAGAATAGCTGTGGTAAATGTTGTAAGAGCCAAATAAATCACACCAAATACATGGTGATCCTTACCATTCTTTACAAACTTGATGGATGTGTTAAGCCGAGCAACATTGATATTCAGTTGTCCAACAACTCTGCGGTACCTTCCACAATCACAGACCGTGCCTGTTGCAATACAAAGGACAGAGAATTCATCTGTTCAGAAATATATATATATATTTTGCAAACGGAAGGGTTTGCCATCTTCCTTCCACCCATATCAGTATAGCATTTGCGCATTCAGTGCCCTTCTTATCATCACATCCATCTGACTGTGGATGTGTGGTTTGCCGTGAAGATCTCACAGTGTTACATCTGAATGATAAGTGTATCCTTTTGCATCCTTTGCATCCACTGACAGCAGCGATTCCCTAGACTTCTGATAGAAATAACTTCACCACTGTTTTCTCAGTGAAAGATTATTCGAAATAGGCATTGAGGTGGGACTGGAAAAACCTTGTTGGATGGACCACGTTAGCTACATGCAGCTGTGGTACAGCAGAAATAGTTGATGCCAACTCAAATAATCAGTAGCTGTCAAGCACTGAAGTCTAGGTTGTATTTTTGGCTGTTAAACTGAAATTTGACTCGATATAGTGTTTGTTGCTTCCTCTCTAATTTTCAGGAAGAAAACAAGTTGGTTTCTCACTAAAGCTAATCTGATGAATCATATGGAATGCCTTAAAAATCTACACTGAAGGTGGGAAAACACCCATGGTTATTAGGACTGAGAAGAACCTTCTGGGTGATCAAATCCAAATTCTCCTCCTATAAGCCAATGTGTTGCATTCATTTGACAACAAATTATGATCTTTCTAAAATTACATACGTTTTTGTCTTGGTGCTTTTAAGAGAAGACTGTTAAAGGAGTTCATTCCTTTGGTATTCAGAAACTTTCCAGTTTTCAGTATTAAACTTCTCCTTACCTGTTGATGCATTCAGTTTTATGTTATCAACCATTGCCCATTCAATTGTATAGTTTCTCCCTATGCTGTGTAGCATCACCATCACTCATGTCACGAGCCTTACTTTGCTAAACAAAACTTTTCACACTATTCCTGCTTGTTTCACCCATTCTGAAGTTTGTCTATGGGCCTCAACATTTTGTAAAACTCTAGACAAACCAACCCTGAAACTGAAGACCCAACATAAGCAAACTCAAGCACTCTTCAGAGAAAGATGCCCAGCATACCTGCTTTTCCTTTTTTTCCAGACACCCCTGATATGCCTTTGGCTCCTTTGTCACCTGGATAAAGAGGAAAATATGTTCTCAGATCTCATATGGTGCATATCTGAAAAACTTGTTTAATAATATATTAGTGGTGTGCTTCTAATAGGAAGGCCTAATGTACTGTACTGGCCACTGCGCCAAGTCAAACAAGCCATGATTAATGAAAATAAGTGAGAACACTTTAATAACTAACCCGCCGATAACACAGGCATGTTGTGTGCGGCTGGTTCCTGGTACTGCTTTAAATATAAACTGCACCATGATCCCGAGAGGCTGCAAGCACTCAGGAATCTGTGGCAGGTGAAACCTGGCCACTCGCTGCCTTGCAGGACCTTCCTGGGTTTGGCAGCTTCACATCAGGACAAGGCAATGGATGAGGCGGGTGGGCACTGAGGCTCAGAATTCATGTGTGCAACTGCTGTTTGTGGGCAGCAGTTAGCACCTGCACAAAATGAGGTCACTAGGGAGCAGTATTTCATTTCAGATATAGTTTATGGAAAGATGATTTATTTTCCTCTTGCTTTCCTCTAGTTCTGTGTATCATAAAAAAAATGGTAGAATTGCTTCTCCAAATGCCATGCTAATATCTAAATACAGGTGACCAGCCTGTTTTTTAATGATCTCAGCTATAATTTGACAGCTGTCATAAGTCTCAGCTGTGTAGCGCAGGAGCAGATGGACTTTGTCTGAAATTAATGTCAGCTCTTCTTTTATGAATTAAAACCTTCAGAGGCCAATTAGTGTTAATACATGCTCTCCCTTGTTGATAGCTATGTTTTGATGTGATTATTCTTTTATATGGTTGTATTTTTTAAAGACAGAAATCAGTAACTGACCGGCATTTCAGTTAGCATTGCTTGGCACCCTGCCCACTTATATGCTGAAATTTCAGGGTTGCTTCCTTAAGAACTTGAATGCTTAATGGTAAGTCTAAAGAGTAACTTAGTGGCCTTTGCTTCTGCACATGAAAAAGGAAATGAGAAAAAAAGACCCATGTACAAAGGGCCAATAAATTGTACAGTCGGGTTGACAGACAGCTTGTTTAAAGGCTTAGATCACTGGTTTACTTTCAGATAAACAATTTGTGGGATTCTTATATTCTAGTTTCCTTTGGTGATTGAAAACACCTTAGGAGATACAGCTATCTGTGTCTTCAGTTGTCTAGGAGTTTTGAAAATGCATCCCCTAGGCCAAATTCTTTTGTTCCTCTCTGATAGTGGGGTTGGCTGGAGGCCATCGTGGGTTTATTAAATAGGCACTGGTGTGAGAAGCTCTCATGATAAGTTGTTCTGCCCACTCACCTGCTTGGCTGGATCAATTGCTTGGCTAGAGACCACAGAGTTTCCCTTAGGATAGTTTATCCCTGGTGAGTTGCTAAGGCAGATCTCACTATGGCAGAAGTAATATTTCTTCTTCTTCAGCTCTAAAAGGAATGCCTAATCTCTTCAGGATGCTAGAGCAATAATTTCATGGAATAATGATTAGAGTTGGAGTCTACCTTCATTTGCGTGGAGTAGTTGTTCTTTGTTATGTAAGTTCTCTCTTAAAACTCTTAAACTCTTCTCCTTACCTTGCTATCCTACACACTTCCTGCACGGTGCAGGTGTGGCACCCTGAGCAGCAGCAAGGTATTGGCTCAGGCCCTTCAGCACTGGATACAGGAGCACAAATCTGGCTTTCTCTTTTTGAGGTAACAGAGGATTTGTGCTGTTTATTTCACCAGGCCCAGATTTCCCCCTTCTCTTCTATCATCTCCAAAGACTGATTTCTTAAGCTATTGAGCAAACTGTATTTAGCCCAGTAAGCGATATATTGTATGTGGGAAACATAAATATTTCAGTTAGCTCTAATCACTGATCTTTCTGCATAATTTTCTTTGGAGAGCACCAGCTGCAGCCAGTATTTGATGATACTCCATACCTGGAACTCACACAAAACACATATTTACTTTGAAGAAAAAACACAAGAAAATTCCCAAGTCGGGGTTACCTTTTCCACCAATCGGACCGATTTTCCCAAGCATTCCCTGGTCACCGACATCCCCTACAGTTCCTTTGTTTCCTGAGAGAAGAAATTTTAAGAAGAGTATGGATTACTTCTTCGTTTCTTCCCTGAAATGCAACCCCTCTACTGTTGCTGTTTTTCCTGAGCATGACGAGTCCCAGTGTAAGACAGACACAACAGACATGCTCGTGTGAATATACATGTGAACACACTGCAAGCTTCACAGCTTTAGTTTTTATTTAGACTTGCTTGTACCAACCTGGGCTGCTGAGGCTCTTCTGTCAGCCTCAGGGCTGCTGGCAGCCCCACTTTTGGCAGGGAACAGCAAGTGACTCCAGTGCCAGAAAAGCACTTAAACCGGGTCTGTTGTGGCTGCATGCAGCTCATATCACAGCTGCTGGGGGACCAGTAGGACTCTGCAAGGCAGCTTAGTAAAACTGCCTGTTCATCTGCCAGAAACTTCATATTTTCCTATAGAAAATACAAACTAAAACTGTTAGTATTCAGATATTGATTTTACTTCACAACTAAACTATACCATCAGCAAGTTGCTTGGGAAGTGTGTCTCTTTTCTGTTTTGTTTTTTTAATTATTATTATTTTATCTTATTACTATTTCTCTATAGTAGAAAAAAGCCTTTGCTTTCCTCTGGAGGAGGAGTTCTCATGGCTTTGCTGGGAATCCTTCTGGAAGTAGAAATGTACGTAAGAAGCTGCTGCTTGCACTGTGCTTGCTTTCCAGTCCTAGGAGCACCAAAATACTGGTTACCTTTCTGAGTGGTTAGCAGTGTAAGTTCTGAAGTAGCTGGTTGATAGTGAGAGCAGAGCTTAGGAAATCTCACTTTTCACACTGAAGATAACATCACTAAGGTGCTTCTTAAGGATTTGGTGGGTTTTTTTGTTTTTTTTTTTTTACCTGATCTGCTTGAGTCTTACCTGATCTATTTAAGGTAAGATCCAAAGTCCTCTGAATGCATTTAAAAATGAAAAAGATTTTTATTATAATAGTAATAACAGGGCAATTAAAAAGATTCTATACAAGTGAAAACCTTACTCTTAAAATATTAGACCGCTGTCAAGGGAGAAAGTATATGGATATGCATTATCCACTTACTGGCACCTTAAGCTTTGGAGTTAATACATGCAAACAAAACTGATGCTGTCTTGTCTGCCTCTGTTTGCTCTTCTATAAAAGAGGGACAGCTGAGACTGAGTTTTGCTGAGCATCATGATTCAAAATTCACTTTCACCTGTGAGATCATTTCACTGACGTAACAGTAATCTTTCCAATTACACATGTGATCTGGGAGGGTGTCAGTCTTCTGGATCTCGCTCATGGTCACAACTTGAGAGAGCAGCAGTCAATGTGCTGGTTTATTATGTGACTATTTACATTTATTGCCAGACTCTCATTATGTATTGGCAGGAATTGCACCAAGCTCTCAGAACATGGTTAGGTTCACTGATTAATGTTTGACAGGCATTGTGAAATCCACTGGAGCAAAAGGAATGAAAAGCATTAAACAGCGCTAATCTTAAATGCAGTTGTACATATTTCTTTACTGTGAGAGTGGTGAGGTGCTGGAACAGGCTGCCCAGAGTGGTTGTGGATGCTCCATCCCTGGACGTGTTCAAGGCTGGGTTGAATGGGGCCCTGGGCAGCCTGGTCTAGTATTAAATGTGGAGGATTTAAATGTGCCTGTGGCGGGGGTTGGAGCTTCATGATCCTTGAGGTCCTTTCCAACCCTGGCCATTCTGTGATTCTGTATTGTGATTCATATACCCATAATAGCCAACAAACCATCATAAATACCTTTAGGTCCTTTTGGTCCAACTTTTCCTTGTTTGCCCACTTCTCCTCTATCTCCTTTTTCACCATCATCCCCTTTCACAAAAAAAAACAAAAACCAAACAGAAAGTGAAACATCATGGTACATTTCACCCAGTGTAGTAAATGCAGCAGTACAACCTCAGAAATCAAGTTTACAGTCACCTTTATTCAAAACTGTATTTCACATTGAAGGTGGTGTAGCCATGGGACAAATTTCCAAAGAAGAGCTGATGAATCTGACTATTAGGAAAAGCTAAAAATTTTCCCTTTTGGAGAAATTGTTCTGGTGTAGGAATTCTACAACATCAACTCCAACTCTTATCCTTCAAGGCCTAGTAGCTGTAAAGCAGATAAATAAACAGGCGTTTACCTATTGGGAAATCTGGGAGAAATGCCAACGGAAGCAACTGGAGTTTACTAATTTTCCTCATGACTCTCGAGTTCAAGGTATTTAGATGCTATAGAAACAGAAAGAATGTAAATGTATTGCAATAGTTCTTTACATGGACATAGCATTTAGTACAGCAGAAGTCTTGCCTTCATTTTTTGACAAGTGGCATATGTTAATATAGCAAACATATTTTGCAGTTATTCCAATATTTTATTTTGAATTACTCACAGAGTATTTATAGGAGGAAAATTCACTGTGTTACAGTAGTGCAGAGATTTCCCCAAATGAGATCAAGGACCTATTACACAGATTACTGTGTATATGTGTAGAAATTACTGAGCAGCTTGCAGTCTAAAAGAGCAAGACTGCAATTAGGAATGAGAAAGAAATATCATCTACTTTAACACTGCATATAGTTTTTTCTTGGGTTTATGCAGGAAAACAGAAAATCAGAGGTACAAATGGGGATGATTTTTGTATCTTTGTATTCTTAGTTTTGATCCCAAGAACATCTTTCCTCTTTGCTGCATCACATGACAAGACCAATGACCTGTCTCATTGAGGACAGAGTCTCCAGCCCTAGCAGAAGGCTTTTGTGGAACTGAGTTCCAACTGAGTGTTGAGGGTGACTCTTCCCCATGAGCAGTGTCGTTAGGGTTTACCTGGCTGAAGGACTGCATCCAGTAGTCAACATGTGAAGAGCAACTGATTATTCTACCCTGCAAAGGTTAGTTTTGTGCCTTTTAACCTCATTTATATTTCTTGTCTCTGTAGCATCCTGTGACAAAATGGCCAAAGATTTAGTTACGTGCTGGGGGAGAAAGTAGCTTCCCATGTTGCTTTCAGATCGATTGCTTCATTGGGTACCCTCTCTCATTCTTGTTTTATGAAAAACATCACCCACTCATTTTTCATTTACCTTGTGCTACTCTTGTAGCCAAAAGGCAGCGTGTCATGGGCTGCTCTATGGGGTGATGAGAGATGAGAGGCAGCGGGTGTTAACTGCAGCATATAAAACATAGTACGAGGTCCTCTGTGCGTTGGATATGGGCACTGGACTGAGTTTGTCCCATATGCCACAGAAAGCTTTAGTGTTGGGACCTTTTGGAGGAAATCAGGCTCACCCCATTAGTCACGGTGTCCTAGGGGTGGTGGGCAGTGGTGATGCAAGGCTGAGCTGGGGAGGAAACGCTCCTTAGAGGAAGGGACAAGGAAGACACATGGCATATTGTGTGCTGGTACGCTCGGCTGCTTTGTTTTCAACACCAGCTGCCACAGGACAAAACTGGAAGGGAAAAGGTTACAAACAGCCAACAGGAGAATTTTTAAATTTTTATTCTTACTGATTCTTCAAAGATACTTGAGAAATCCACATGTATTTCCAAAAGCCAAGCTTCTTGAAGCTGTGATGAAGCTGTAAGTCTGAACCTCGAGCTGATGGAAAGATGCCTGCTTGTACTGAGTTCTTGCCTAGAGGTCATCAAACAGCAGAGCCAGAGAACTTGCAGTTTAATTTTGCTGTTGACCTCAGTGTAAGCATCATTTACGACTGAGAAACTGAGCAATTGTCCTTTCCAAACCCAGCTATGAAGCCCTTGAGAAAACTGTAAGAGTCACTTCTCAGTAGGAGAGAAACTCAGAAAAGATTCCCAGAGGCTGACAAAAACCTTGTAAAATGTGGTTCCAGGAAAAGGTTAAGAGCTGATGTGATCATAGTGTGCAAACCCATGCAGGGGAGGAAATGTGTGATAATAGAAAGGAATCAGGGTGTGATTCAAAGACTGGAAAAGCTGGATGAGTTCTGACTAGAAAGGTAACATGAGGTTATTTAGAAAGTGGGCCATGCTCTCCAGCAGGGGAGGCAAACCTAAGAGGCTTCACTTGCAGTCCTTACCTATGCAGTGAATTCCCCTATGACATGCAATATGCTGCAATTCTGGCTCTGGTGTAAAAACAGCTAAGAGAGTTTCTTTGGCCTGTGTCATGTGGGAGAGCAAACCAGATTCTTGCAAACCTTCCAAATTCCACCTGTCACCCTGGTCCTCACCACCTGTCAGCCCGGTGAATTACCTTCTGTGTGTCTCACAGACTGCTCTGTTGGGTTAAGGACTCTGTTGAGACTTGTTTTCTGCAGAAAGAAGCTTTTATCTATCTTTTATCTATCTATCTATCTATCTATCTATCTATCTATCTATCTATCTATTTATCTATTAAGAAATATTGCTTAAACAGTAATCTTAGAGCCCTGGAAAGAAAGTCAATATACCAGCACAGAAGCTGTGATTACTTTCCAAATGTGTTTTCTTTCAATCTCAGCTACCATACAGAGCCAGTAAAAGCTGCAGTGGCTTTTTTCTGAGGAACTTTGGAGCAAGTTTTGCACACATGAGGCTGCCAGAGATGAAGCTCGGTTCTTGCTTGTCAATCATTAGACTAAGAGCTGGCAGGTTAAAGGGGTAAAAGGTGTGGGAAAGTTTGCTCTGGACATTTGGAGAAATTATGAGGTCCTAGTTTTTGCTCAAGCCATGAGAAAACCTAAAGAACAGGGCAGGAGGATCTATCACCTGTTTCATCTTGGCATACATGCTCTGCCTTAGTTCCCATACTCTGGAAATGGAAATAAGATGAATTTGCCTGTCTGTAAGAGAAGGAGAATTCTTTTCCCCCAAAATCACATCTAAGTATGGATAGGCAAGTGTAGAAGCCAACAGTATTAATTAATGGTACATTTAATTGTTAATTTAAGAATGAATTAAGCCAAATGCTTGATAATATGGTGTTAGAATTATCAATCCACTGTGCCCAGTCGTAGGTATTGTGTGATGTCAAATTTTGGCAAGAAATGTGAATTCTTGGGTTAGGCTCCCCCCTTGTGGTTCTGCTATGATTTGCAAGGAGGTAGGAGGGACTGTGAAAGGTTGGTTGACCGTGTTTTTGAACGGGGTTGAGTTGGCTTTCTCTCTATAAGCATCTTTCCCTTCCTTCTTGGACTTCATGTGGACAGCATTTCACTGTAGTAGACACTTTTAAGGTTTTTTTTGTTTGTTTTTTGTTTTTAATTTGATAGAATTCCGAATCTGACTCCTGGCTGTGCTCTGGACAGTGTTTGAATTGTTGTACTGCTGTGCTTTGTGCTCTGTGACTTGTCTTATAGGGAAAAAAACGTTCTGATCCTGACCTCATATGTTTTAATCTATGCCTGGAATTTAAATCCTCCTTTGTGCTGCTGGAGAAGTATCAGGTTATGTTTTAACCCTATTAGCAAATTGTAACCTTAAAACTGTTCCTGCAAGGATTTCAGATAATGCAATACATTAGCATCCGAAACCCAGAGAACTAGTAGCAAATAGGTGAAACAAGTATCACTCTACTTTGTTCATATTCCTGCAAGCTGGTTAACTTCTATGTCACAGATTTTAAATATCATAGAATCATTAAATCATAGAATCATAGACTCCTTAGAGTTGGAAGGAACATTTAAAGGTCATTTAGTCCAACTCTCCTGCAATGAACATGGACATGCTCAGCTAGATCAGGTTGCTCAGAGCCCCATCCAGCCTGACCTTGGAAGTCTCAAGGGATGAGGCTTCCACCATCTCTCTGAACAACCTGTTCCAGTGCTTCACCACTCTCACTGTAAAAGACATTTTCCTTATATCTAACCTAAATCTAAGCTGTATAAGCTTGAAACCTTTGTTCCATGACTACAGACACTGCTAAAAAGTCTGTCCCTTTCCTTCCTGTAGCTGCCCTTTAGATACTGAAAGGCTGCTCTCAGGTCTCCCTGGAGCCTTCTCCAAGTTGAACATCGCCAGCTCTCTCAGCCTATCCTTATAGGAAAGGTGTTCCATCCCTTGGATCATTTTTGTTGCCCTCTTCTGGATGCGTTCCAACAGGTCTATGTGTTTCCTGTACTGAGGACTTCACATCTCACATGTAGTACTCTGGGTGAGGCATCACCAGCCCAGAGCAGAAGGGCAGGATCACCTCCCTTGCCCTGCTGGCCATGTTTCTTTTGATGCAGCCCTGGATACAGTTGGCTTTCTGGGCTGCAAGAGCACATTACTGGCTCATGTCCAGCTTGCCATGCACCAATACCCCCAGGTACTTTTCCTTTTTTGCATGGCATGCTCTATCCTCAAATAAGTCTTTTGTTGTCTGGTTTGTACTCGCAAATGGAGAAAGTATTCAGGCTAAACAGTTCACTTATGTTTAGTGGCTTCCCAAGTCTTGTGATCAAGGGCTGACCCCACTTCTTAGAGAATCAGGATGGATTATAGTGACTGTACCTATCTGTGGATGCTGCCCCATGACAGCATGGCAGCAATTCTGCAGGCTGTGTGGGGTCTAAAGCTGGAACTCCTGAACTGGATTTAGGCTTGTTGTCTCCGGGAGCACACAAAACCCTCCAGCTGGATTTAACTGAGAGTTTTCCATGTGTGCTGATAAGTCATGGCCTGAGTTAGCTGCAGTTCCTCACTTCTGACCAAAAATACTCCATGGATGCTAGTGTTCTCTAAGCCTCTCTTTTACAGTGAATCAATGAAAATGCATCCTGTGAAGCAGAAAGACCAAGCAGACTGTCTGGGTCTGTATCAGTTTTAGAGCCCTATTCTTTCCCACTATCTGAACTCATTTAGTAGATATCACAGCCCCTGGTACCTACCTCCATGCTCCAGGGCATAACTACCTTGTAAAATGACAGAAAAACCTCTTTTGGTAGGCTAAAGACCAAATCTGAAAAAAGTAGAGAAGTCCTGGGTCATGGCTGATAAACTGCAGGGAGAGAGGGTGGTTAACCTTGTATTTTTTGGACATGGGTGCTTTGCACTACTTGCCTTGGATGCATCTAGCATTTCTGTCAGTGAGTCCCATCACAGGGCTTTATATGCAGTATGTCATGTGGCTGTACCCTGTGAGCACGTTATGAGTGCTGCTGTTCTCCACGGTTCATGCCTGGAGTCCTGCTACAGGCATGGGGACCCTCTCCATTTCTGCAGACACTGTGGGGAGGTGAGGTGATGCCATTGCCCTGAATGTTAAAATAAAGGAATAATGACCTGTGTAATTCTGAAGCTTTGAAGCTTTTCCAGGAGGAACTGACTGCCTTGGAAAAGCTTTGCGCTCACTAAGCTTCTGCAGCACCTGCATGCATACAATCCATTTGAGAGGTTTGGTCACTAGAGGGAGTCACAGACTCTAAGAAATAAACAAATAAAACTGTCTTTCCATTGCATAAGTGTGTCATAGCTACGTCAATGGAAAGCCTCAAGATTTCCTCTAATTTTCACTTTCAGTGTCCTTTAGATCCTTAGCAAATTTCCCGTAGCTGTGGGGATTTCTGTTTCCAAGCTATATATGACAAGTGAGGACAGGATTTCTTGTGCTGTCTTGGAACTAAATGAAGTCATCTGGCTGGAGTTGATTCAACGCAATGTCCCTGCCTCATTCCTCTTCCCACCAGCCCTCAGCACTGACCTGCATACTTCCCTCCTACTCTGTCTGATTTTGAGCACTCATCTCACCCTGCATTTAATGAGTTATGGAAATGAGAAGGGAAACACTAATAATGCATATCATACCCATTTTTAGTGAGCTGAATTGGCTCAGTGAGAAGTCTGATGAATGAACAGTTGAGCCAGTACAAGGGGAAGGTAGAAGCTTATGGTCAGAGTGATGGCTCTCCCTTTTTGGAAAAGAACCCAACTGCCTCGTCCAGCTATAATGAGTAACTTCAGTTGCAACCACTCTTCCCCATGCCCTGCAGGAAACATGCATTGCTTCACTGGTACCACTGGTTTGTACCATGAGAAATATAAGTGTTTTGCTCACAGGTTCTTGTCTTTTTTCACTTATCTCCGTTAGAGAACGGAGACTCAGTCACTTTTCCTGGTGAAGTGGAAAGAATCTCAAGAATAAACTGGATTCTCTGCTCACTTTTCTGTTTTCTGCTTCTAAACATCCATTGACTTCACTTGAAATAGCCCCTCATTCTATTCATGAGTCAGAATCAAACTCTTAGTAGGGTCAATGGAGCTCTGCTGACTTGTATTATTTGAAACTGTGGGACTTTGTGCATGAGCAGGATATATATTGTGTCCCTAATAGTACAGTAATAATTTGTATTATTTCTGATACTCCTTTCACTTGATTTGTCCCAATTTTAGCTTCCAAGCCAGATCCCCTGCCGTTATGATGTGATCTCCAAGACCCATAGACTACAGTGGTCTGAATGAGGAATCAAACCTACACTGGTAAGAAATACAAACCCAGTATATTTTAAATTTGCATTTAAGTGCCCTCCTGCATGTTTTGTAACTCAGGCTGAAAAACTTCAAAAGCTTAGCATATGCTAAAATATATGAAGGTAAAAATGTGTAAAAAACAGAATTATGTGTTGATTGTGAGCTGCTTTTCAGATCGAACATGAGGCGCTAAGAGGGAAGCTTAGTTATAGGTTTGAGCAGCCTATAGGATGTGGTAAGGCGTTTCTTATTTTTGGAAGGAAATGTGGATAGCAGCATATCTGGTTTCTGAGAGAGTTTTAGGTTTTTCAGGAGTGGAATTGCATAAGAACAATTAAAGCTAAGAGATGGACAGCTATACAGGAGACCACAGTAAATGCTATTTTTGAGGTGCTAGCCAATGTCATAGAGTTTATAAGCACCATTTGTCAAAAGTAATAGTAAGGAAACACTTTACATCTGAATTGCTATGGGAAACTCTGTATTCTTCAGTATTCATCTCATTCCAGTTTTTCGACTTGGATCTTACTCAAGGTCTTTGAAGTCCTGTGTCTGGATTTCAAAGGAAATGAGCTGGGAGACCTGGGACAGATAGCAAGATCTAGAGTCAGACTTCAGGAACACTGAGCTCCCACAAGTCCACATGAAATCAACTGCAGTCTCATTCCACACTTCTGTAAAGCCATCCTTGTTCTTCTTCTACCCCCATTCCTACCTTTGATGAGAGTTTAGGAGTTGAAGTTTTGGCCTCAGCATTTTTCTTCACTAATATTGTTGATGACTGATTTACTGTGGCAAAAGCACGGACCAACAACTGATGCTTTTTCTCTCATAGCGTTAAAAGCTGCTTCCCCACAGTTCCGCTCAAAGCAGCAGCCACCAGCCTATTTTGAGGCTTGGAAGGCTACAGAGCCATGACTAACCTTGTTAGTCCAAGTAATTGGCTTCCCTGAAAAATTCATTGCTTTGTTTATGCTATATCTGGTTTTGTTTGGATCCAAGAAGTTAATGAGTGCAGAATTTGGTCATTATTATCCTACTTAATCTACTGTGAATAAGCATTACCTACCTTATATTTTCAGAGATCTTACACCAAGCCATTCCAGCTAAATCCAAGTCATTCATAAACACCTCAGGTCAAACACCAAAATCAGTTACAAATGCTGAAGATGTATTTCGATCGGAAGAACAAATTTGCTTCTCTTTTTTAATATTTTAATAAGGGTCTAAGAAATTGCTTCTCAGATTTCTTTTTTTAGCTGCTGTATCAGCCAATTTGTGACATACCTCATCAGCTTTCTTATGAAGGCAGCCATTGTGCTAGGGCTACGTTCATTTAAATAACTGCTCTCTTTTTGAGACCTTTGAGCATTACATAGAAAAGGAGACTGGAAGAGAAGTAACAGCTTTTGCTTTTTTTAAAGTTTTTTTTTCCTCTTTTTTTTTTCTTTCTGGATTGAAAATATATAAATTTTCTTTCCATAATTCTGTCAAAACAGTTTTCATTTTCCTTTGCTTTCAACAGTGATGGCAAAGCAGCAGATGGAGGGGACTGCAGAGTGCTGGGTTTGTATCACACTTCACCAGCAGAGGTCAGGCTGAAACTCCTATTTATTTGTGATTCTGACCTGTTTTATTCAGACAAACTTTCATCTTAGTAACTGGAAGTGCAAAAGACTTAAAGGACATCTACTGCCTTCCTTCTGTTCCTGGGAGATTGTATCCTTCCAGAGTATTTTCTCGCTGTCTGTTTTCTGGTTCTGCTGATACTCTTCAGAAGCAGGAGAGTGCAGCACAACAGGTATGAAGACTTTCCTGATAATCAATCTGGAATTACCCTTTCTTTTCATCTCAGCACTCATATCGTATTTCCCGTGTGACACCCCAAGTCTAAGCATATAAAAGGGTGTATTTCTGAAGGGGAAAATTTTGTCTTACACAGATTAACCCAGACAAGTTACAAGCAGATTGTACAAGCAGCAGCTGATTTTCAGGACACCAAACAGGTGATCTTTAGGGTGACAATGCAGAAATGTCAAATGCTTGCTCTTGTAGCAACTGTGAATGCCTAGATGATGAAGTGAGTAATGAAACCTTCAACGGTACAAGAAACAAAGGGTGATAAGTTCAGAATCTCTACAAATATCCCCACTTTTCCCTCAGCCTTCTCACCTCCCTTGCTGTGTGATAGGTAAAGCAGCACTACTGCTGTGTAATACCAAGGCCAATCTCACTCATAGCCTAATCTAGCCTACTGAACAGTTTGTGCCACTGCAGCCTTGCAAAGCTATTCAAAACTCTTTAGTTCTTTACAGTTCTAGGTGCTCAGTTCCATTAGATACTAAAGCCCATGTAGAAGGAAGTTGCCACAACAGCAACCTGGCTTGTGGTAGGAGAAGCTGACCAATGTACTACGGAAGCTCAGCACCTCCATCTTGTGAGAGCACCACTGTGTTCCACCATAGCTGAAGACCCTGAGCAAATTAGAGGCAAATGGTTAACTAAGGAGCACAACAAATAGAGCGCAGAAAATAAACCTTACAGCAATGGAAGTCAGAGGTTTGTCCATTACCAGGGTTTAACTGTCGTCTGAGCAGCAAAGTGTTGTCTGTGACTGTTGTGTGGTCCTAGGCTTGGACCCTGTGTTCTGAGTCCTTAGGCACAAGACAGTTAGAGGAAAACTGGATCAGATCAGACTTTCTTCTGTCATACTAGGTTAACGTGTTTCATCAACTCCAGGGAGTGCCTGAGGAATAGCAGGATAGTCACACACCTAGCCTGCTCAATCTGTAGTTGCCCAAATGACTGGCAGTCAATCAGTCTGCACTGAGAGATGCTTATAGCTGCCTTGGATGCTTATAGCTTGCCTTGCTTAATCTGGTAGGAACTGAAATGAGGTTATAGGATCATATCACATTAACTGCAAGATATTCTGATGATCTGCAGTGGATTTGAGCCAGTAATTTAGAGTTGATTTGCTCAACACTTTTAACAGTCATGGATCTTGGCTATGGTAACGTAATTTTACAGTGGTAGTGAGGACCCTGCCAATAGATGTTTGGCTCCTTTTGTATCTTGTTATCAGCCAGGAAGCTGATAATGGCTAAATCCTGATTTTCTCAGTATCACACTTGCAGAGAATCGTATCTAACCTTTAAATGCTCCCTGTCACAACTAGACCAGAGAAACCAACTGGAATCCCACTACTCCCACTTTGTCCAGAGACCAACTCATTAGCCGTGTGACTTGTTAAACACAATTCTGTCAAACTTTGTTCTTCAGCTCACATTACTCGTATATTAATTAAAGAAACTTCTACTTGCTCCCTTCAGGATCGTTACATCTCTCTGCATTTATGCTGTGGCAGCAAAAGCTAAAGCTTGGATTGTAATCACAAAGAAATTAACTTGCTGATTAAAAATAGTCCTTTAAGCAACATGCATTTGAATAATCCATCATAAAAACAAATTAGTCTGGAGCAATACTTTTGTCTTGATAATCTTTTTTTCTGCTTAAAATTTAAATCAATTGCATTTTTTTCTCTTATTCTGGTGCCTATAGAAAAATACAATGAATTGCTAAAAAGAAGGCAATAGTTCAAACTGCAATAGCTGTAGTGTTGAATATAGATTTTAGATCTGTCGCTGCAAGATAGATTTGTATGTCATAGCCCTAATTTTCAGCTGTGGTGCCTTCAGGCAACTGCACTGACATTAGATATATTACACAAAATGCAAGTTAATGCAGAAAATTTGCTTTTATATATTTGCAAAGAATTTTGAAGATAAAAGAGATGCACATGCCAGAGCTGATCGAGTTTTTCTTGAGGTCTATAGAGAAGGTCCTGGTCCAGGAGCTGCTGGATCAGGTCTGAATGAATGCAGCAGAACTCTGCTTACAGGTAAGCACTTGGAAATAATGTCATTACAGTCATTTTAAGTAAGTTTTGCATTTCTCTCTCCAACTATATGCAGAGTGAGCTATTAACAGTTCAGAATAGGTGCTTACTTTCAGACAAAGTTCCTCAATTTATGGCTAGTAACAGTACTGGCTGTGGGAGGAATACAAGAAATAAGAGAAGATTTATGTGGCTGGAGAAAATTGAAAAAAGATGCATTTAATTCATATGAAAATATGTGAGAATATGTAACTGAAGAAGAAAACAAATTCAAATCTCCTTGCTCTGCCATTTTCCCCCGTTACAATTTCACTTTTCTGGATGGTTTTACAGACAGCAGTAACTGAGATCTTTCATCCACATCCCATGCTGCAAGCCCTCCACATTTCTCTTTTTAAAAAAACAGCCTCTATCACTATTGGTCTCAGCATTAGTAACCTGATTTTCCTCACCTTTTGGTCCAGGTAAAATAGTGTGTGTCGAGCAGACATCTGTTGTAGGTCGATTGTCAACATCAAAACCAAAAATCTGAACTTGGAAGATGAAAAGCACTACTAGGGTCCCATATTTCCTTAGCTGTTGTTCTTTCTTTCTGCTCATCCTTGCAGCTTCTCAGGAAATGCCTTTCGTTGTTACAGTCTTAACAAATGCAGCTGAATCAAAAATAAATGCTCTGCTAACTAAAGCAGTGCAAAGATTGAGAGCTACATGCAAGAACAGCTAAATAAAGTGAAGAAAGGAGTTTGACGATGCTGTAGTTATTTCTGTCCTGCACATTATCCAGGATATTTATTTTACACTGACAGCTGTTTATTCCAATTTATCTCTTATCTGTGAGAAGTTTAGCTGTTTTTGCCTTGGAAAATTTCTTCAATATATGGGGATAATCTTTTTTATCATTTGTTTTTCTTTTTGGCACTGATTCTTCATGCCCAGCTTTTCACTCAAGAGACAAAAGACTGTGGTATTTTATCCAAGTGGATACTAATTAGTAATAAGACACTTGTAGCTGTTCTTTTGCTGTAAAAATAATTCAGATTCCTTATAATGAGTGAAGAGACTTCCATGAGAGCTTTCTGCCAAGGAGTTCTTTAGGGATGACGGACTAGCTCCTAGTCCACTGTGGGTGGATGTCTATGGTGCAGTTTGCTTTTGGATGCCATCTACCAGAAGCCACCATATGAGGGATAAAAGTTTGATGTTAACAACAGATTTTTGAGCCAAAACCCCACAAATGATGGTTTTATGTTTACCAATTTTTCCACAGTGTTTTTTTCCAAGCCCAAATTCTGTTATTAGACACAGTACTGAAGGACATTACAACGTTAAATCCAGAGTAGGGTGAGATTGAATGAGTGCAGAATGTCCTCCCATACCATCTTTCTCCTCTACTCACAAACTAGGAGAGACCATATATCAGGATAATGGTATAACACATACCTCAAGGCCATACTGTCTTTGCCTTTTTTTTCTGGGTTGCCATGGAAGATGTCACTGTTTCAAATCTGCATGAGTTAGCTGTCAATTTTTCAGCAGGATGCTGGGACTTTGAAAGTAGGAGTAGGAGCCCTCAAGCATAGAGGAATGAGTAGCATGCAACACCAATATGTATCGTTTTGGAAGGAACTGTCACAGCTATCCATCCATGTGAAATCTCCTCCTAGAGCAGCCTCCAGCTTTTCCTTATTAAGAACACGGTAACAGGGAAGCATAAAAGAGATGACTGTTTATAATCTGTCCAGGAATTTCATTAACTTCTGATTTCTTACAGAATGAAGCAGGGCAACTCTTTAGTACTGCCTGAGTACTTTTAGCGCGTGTATTTGTTTTCCATCTCAGATAAAAAAAATGTATTTCCCGTAATAATAGCTTTTGAGATGCCTTTCTCATTATTTTAGACAATATTAGTTCCTTAGTTTCACACATTAGTCTGTCAGTAGACAGAAAAAGTAGCAATACTGGTGTGAAAGTGGCTAACTTTTCTTAAAGGTATTGCAGAAAGGCTTTGATTTCAAGCTCTTATGTGGGATGAAATTTGGCCAGAGCCCAAGGAAGGGTCAAGAGGCTCCTCTCCCTCTTTCTTTCTATCCTGGTCACAGTCTGTTTCACTTTTCAAAACTCTTTTGTTGAACTATGTACAGTAGTTTTCATCAATAAATAGTGGTCTCATCCCTAAAAAATGTAATATAACTAACACCTTCAAATGTGGCCTTGATAACAGATACACCACAGCTACAGAAGTGAATGCTGGGATTAGAGATGGATAGCGCTGTACCAAGAATAAACTTGTTCCTCTGTGATTTGCGCTGGGCACTGTGCCTCTGACTTGTACACTGTAAATCTGCTTTATTTATCTTCTTCTTCTCTTCACTTTCCATTTTGTGACCAGAAGGTCAGTGTAAGAGCAAGAATAGAGAGAGTGTAGGAGTGGGAAGCTAGTGTACTTAGCTTTGGAGGAGGCATTTTGGGAAATGTTGCCAAAATGACGTGAATGATGCTATCTGTTCCACAATACTGTGAGACTTCAGAGTTTTTGTTATTTATCAGTGATAAAGGGGGATATGTTTAAATAAGGGAGGAAACTAGTCATTTAACCAGTTAATTTACTGACCGGGACAAAACAGATAGCCTTTTTTTGATACTACTGTTGTTAACAATCATTTTCGAATGTTCTCATTCCACATTAGAAATGAAATCAAATCCCTACCATTTTTTTCCTCCATGAAAGTCACAAAAACCCTAAATACATAGTGACTAATAAAGTTTAATACATACAAAAGCTACTTAAAAAGTAGGAGATCAATTTTTTTCTCTCCATAATTCAAACTAGTTTTTTACAGCCTTAAGGATATATAGTCTTATTACTGGGCTGTTTGATAATCAGTTATGTCTTCCTGTATGTTGGACCAGAAATCCTATCCTGAGGCTGGGAATCGGCCTTAACAGGAAATCCATCACAACATAATGCTAGCACAAAAGCTTGGATTTTGGCAAATCAATATTTATCAAACCAGTTTCATCGAAAAATCCTCAAGCAGCCTCAGCACTGATGGAGATTTAATGAGGCACACTGCCTATTGTGCATGTTAATTCTTATTGAATCAGGCTTTGGGAAGTGTCTGTAAGCAAGAGAGAAAAACAAACTAGGCAGTGTTGTCCAGACGTAAAAGACATAAAACAAACATTTCCTAAGGTGTAAAAGTTTTACAAGAACCTTCAGAAGGCAGAAAGGAAAATCCTGAATGATTCTGTTGCTTTGAGTCATGCAGCAGACAGATAACCTTTATTCCTCCTTGGATCTCAAGTACTTCCATGGTAAGTTGTTCTGCCTCCGCTTGGATATTCAGATGGTAGTTGTTAAATTACAATAGATAGAAGGAGTAGTACAGACAACATCCTGAAATAGTGTTCATCAAAAGGCAAACAGGTCTACAGCAAATTTTAATAATTCATACAGTTCCTGACCCTATGTCACTGAATTCCATGGTAATACATGCTGCCTATTACCATTCGTTGATCCAACCAGAACTGCTGGAAGTCTGCTGGCATACTTTCTACCCCCAATATAGTATTAAGGAGAACTTTTCTGTTCCTCACTATACTGAATAATCCCGGAGGCATCTGAAGTAAAAGAAAAAAAAGGGTAACATTTCTCTGCTTTGGGTTCCTACATGGCTTTTTGTTCTCCTTGTATGACAAACTGATCACGGTGATTCGGACTGTATCATGAAGTCATAGTAGATGCATCTATCATGATGGCAAAGCTTAGAGAGAACGAAAGAGGAAAAGTAGTACCATGTAGTTTGCCAAATGTAGGGGGAAAAGTAAACCTAAGGCTATTTTATAAAATCAGTTTTAGTTTTGACACCTTGCACTGTCTCCTTGATCCCATAAATACAGGCTTCACCACTGTTACTCCTCTGAATAAGGCATAAGCAATGACTGGACCTTAATGTGCTGTCAAATGGCTACAAAAAAGAAATGAACAAAGATAATAATTCTCCAAAATCTCCTTGCTTCTATGTTCAGTGAACAGAGCTGAAAGGACAGTAATGAGTTGGGGCAATTTTCCTTGAATATTTGAGGTGCTTTGTTAGCACCAGCAATGTAGAAATAGATGTGCCACTGGTTTCCTGCAAGTGAGTTTGCTGAGTTTGGTATCTTGAGGAATGGTCTTGAGTGTTCCCAGGTGTGCCTCAGGGATGGCTCTTCTGGAGAAACTTGGGTCTGACAGTGTCTTTTTCGGTGCTCTACCTCTCCTTTACTCCTCTTGTCTATGCTTTCATCTTTTTACCTTTTAAACAGCAAAGCTGACCAGATTCCAGTTGGAAGAGCTTGTGTGCTACAAGCCAGGAGGGATGTGGAGACAGCTGGTGCCCAGGGAGCGAGATGGCTGCTCTGTACCAAAATCTCAGAAGGATCTTGGTCAGACCATAGATTGAGAGAGCTTCTGGGCTCCTTGTGAGGTGCTAAACAGACACTGTACCTTGTTTTTTAAACATCCCTCAACTACATGCAACTTCTGCTTACTCAGGTAGTACTGCATTATATCTTCATGCTTCCAATTTTTTTTGCTCTTTGCAAAAATTTACTGGCTCATGTGTTTTAAACACATGAGAATACTTCTCTGACAGTTAGTCTGCTGGCTTTAATTTTACTGAAGATGCCTTTGACTTTACTCATAGGGCATTAGACTTCCTGAGAAGCCTGAGACAGATACCTATTGTTATTTTCCATACAATCACTCAGAGAATCTATCCAAAAAAGTAAGGCATTCAGATATGTATTTAGAGATGCGATAGAAAGTGAAATACTCAGTGTGGTTTGTAATTGTGTTTATCTAAGTGCAGCCTTTTCCTGTGTCAGAACAGATTTTTGCAAACAGGAGGGTAATGATTCAGTTCCAGGGGAAGACTGACAAAATAAACCCCGGCTTCTGCTGACCTGATGTAGTGCTGAACAGTGCCCTACCCTGGGAAAATATTTCCTGCTTCTTTTTCATAAATATTTATGTAATTCCTTCTGGGAAACATGTCTTCTTCAGAAAACTGAGCACGCTGCTCCCTGACACAAATTTAACTGTTTGTTTACACATGAGAGATTGTGGTCATTTACCCGGCCTTGGATTTTTACACTCTTATCTCAGGCATTTCTGTCTTTTAAAACTCTCCTACACTCCTTCTAGAGATCATATAATGCCTTGTGTTGTAGTGCTTAGTCTCTGAATTTCAAATATCCTCAGTGCTAACTCTAGGATTGGTATTTTGGGCTGAAGAAAGGAGAGCCAAATGTGATGTTCAGCCTGGAATCACATTTCTGTCCTACCCAGCTGTGGCCTTCCCGTGCTGCTTTGAGGCTGCTCTCTAAAAAAATTAATGCAAGCAATTAAACAGGGAATTGCATGACTAATGGAAGTACTTATATTTAGAAACAGACCTAAACACATTTATATGAACTGAAATAGAACTGGCATGCAGTCTTTTGCATCTGCTTTCTAAGCTTCTAGCTTAGCAGAAAAACTGAGCATGAGTTGCTGCAAGAAAATAGGAATATTCTCCATCATGGCAAAACAAAAAAGGTTGATGTTGTTCTCTTCAACATTTTAAGAAAACAGAAGAGTGACTGATTTTGAAGCGCACTGGTGAAGCCTAGTGTGAAGTCTTCTGTTCGTGCAAAACTGAACCTTGCTCACCAGCTCACTATCAACGCTTTCATGAAGTGGTGAACTCTTTAGGGTGCTGCAGAGAAAGCTGTGTGATGGTAGGAGACATTCAGAGGAGAAGGCAAACATCAAGCTTGTGCCCAGGGTACAATGCATGTGAATAAATGGTACCCAGGTCCTGTGCTGACCTGTGCATTTCGTATGAAACCTGTTTGTCTTGAGCACTGACAAAACTTAAAAGCACAAGCTTATAGTCCTATAGGGGGTCTCAGTTCTTAGTCTTCTGCTCCTCTTATTCAGCTGTGGCAGTTGCATTACTCATTTGACCTTCTAATTGAACACATATTTATAGATCATATAGATTTACGGAGTATTTCTTCCCCTCTCCCCTCCCTTCACTTCAAACTCGGCCACATACTTTCCAAACACAGCTAGAGCCAAGCAGCTTTTTCCACTTTCTTCAGCACTTTGCAAAAAAAGAGACAAATGAAACCAGGAAACTAGGGAGCAGCTACCTGCCCTGGAGGATTCATGAACTCTCTGGAAAAAGGCAAAGGCAAGGCTACAAGGAAGCTAGCAGGAGGGGGCATAATAAAAAGGATCCACAGGAGGCCAGAGCAATCTTGAAGACCTCCTTCTTAGCCCATGGGCATGTAATATGTTCACAGTTTGAAACAGGCATTCATGATGTTTTTTCTGCTGTCCTGCTGAACACCTCCAGTGACGGCAGAGGCTGCCTATTGCTTCTGAGGGACTGCCTTGCTGCTCTAAGAGCCCCTGCTCTGCTCACTGCGTGAAGCCTGCTACCAAATGTGTGCAGACATCTGCTGTCCTGCTCAGTGAACTCTCTCCTACCTTCTGTACTGCTTCCTTGGTGTCTGGGGATGCACAGTATTGTGTAACATGTATCGTAATGTTGGTTTCATGTCTGTGTGGGTGTGTTTCTGGCAAGTAAAAGAAAAATTTGAACCTCATTCTCCCACCTTCCTACTTATTGTATTGGCTGCCAGACTGTTTGGCAGTGAAGGGGAGGAGGGTGATGAAAGTGGCATACTTTCTGCTTGACAAAAAAACCTTCACCTGGTCCATACTCAGAAAGCAGTATTGTTAAACTTGACAAATTAAATGTTAAACTTAAACAAATTAGACATTTTACAACTCCAGGTTTTGTGTAAGGAAGAGAGATTAGAAAAGGAAAATAGCTGGGCTTGTTCAGCCTGGAGCAAAGAAGGCTGCGGGGTGACCTCATCACAGCCTTTCAGTACCTAAAGGAAGCCTAGAGACAGGAGGGGAGTCAACTCTTTGAAAGGGTAGATAACTGCAGGACAAGGGGAAATGGTTTTAAGTTGAGGGAAGGGAGATTTAGGTTGGATGTCAGGGGGAAGTCCTTTACAGAGAGAGTGGTGAGGTGCTGGAACAGGCTGCCCAGAGAGGCTGTGGATGCCCCGTCCCTGGAGGTGTTCAAGGCCAGGTTGGATGGGGCCCTGGGCAGCCTGGTCTAGCATTAAATGTGGAGGTTGGTGGCCCTGCATGTGGCAGGGGGGTTGGAGATTCATGATTCTTGAGGTCCCTTCCAACCCTGGCCATTCTGTGATTCTGTGATTATTGCTTGCACCTCTGTAGTATTTGACTGTTGAGCTTTGAGAAATGGAAGGCTGCATTCCAGTCCCCACTTCATATGCAAATCTCTGAACTGTAGATACTTGTTTGCCCATGCAGTGTGGAGCCATTAGCACAGGATTTTAGTTTAAAAATAGGTTAGCATATAAAGTACATCACTACCCTGGACTGGCTAAAAGGGCTGCTGTGACTTCTACCGTTTGGAGTAAAACATGTCACTTGGAACTGCTGCTCAGCCATCCCTGGCAAGGATAAATTTGAGCTACAGGGCTTACAGAAAGATTTCTTAGTAGCAATTGTTGTGCCATTGATGGGAACGTGTTGTGAACTACTGAGTTTTCAGCATTTTTCTCCAAGGCATTTTTTCTCCTAACTTCAAGTTTGCATTTATCTCGTCCCCACATAGAAAGTGACATATGCTTGGGTGCTTTGCTTTTTAATCTCTCTTCTCTCTGGCCGTAGCAACACAGATACAGAAGAAAGGCTCATAAATCAGCCCACTATTTCTCATCACCAAAATCTGGTGCATGGCTTTGTTTAATATGTGGGCTTTTATGACAGTCTTCAAAGGAATTTATGGCTTTAGAAATAACATTAAATCAGTTCCAAGGACAATGTTGGACTTTGTCCAACACTATCAGAAAAGCATTATGTAGCACTGTCATTTCTTCAAGTGTTTTGGAGTTTCCAACTTTGTTATAATGTTCACAGTCACTTTCAGACCAAGGGATAGGAAATTGTCACACCCTGCTAGGTGTTTGCAGTTTGGTCAGGGCAACATGTGGTGGGGTTAAACAGTTGATCCTGGCAGGGTTTTGTCCTATGCTATAGGGAAAAGGTCTTACCCTTAGGCCATCACTAGGCAGAAGGAATTCAGAATAAAGCTGAAGTTGTGAAGAGCTGGGTTAATGGTTAAAAAGCTGCCTTTAATGTCAACTGGTCCCTGTTTTTATAGTGCAGAAGAGATTTGCTATGCAAGTATTCACAGTGCTGCATCATATATCAGATATATTTTCTTTCCAAAGACCAACAGCCTGATCACAAGAACAAGGACCATGCAAAGGGAAAGCAGAACTTGATCGCACGGTCCACCACTGAGAAATCTCCCATCCCTCTTCTTCCTCTCTTCCCTCTTCTTGCGCAATTTATGCCCTCATCTCTTGTTGACAGGAACGACTTCAGGCAATGGAGGAGACTGCTTGGCTGAGCTCGGAGGTACTTCGAGCTTCATGCTGCTGACATGGTCCATTAACTGTTGAATCTGTGCAGAGACTCCAGCCATGCTGCAGCATTCCTGTCGCTGGGCTTGGCCTCCTGCCTTGCTTGCTCAGTGTCTGTGCACGATTGCTCGGCTCCCTGCTCCGATGCCCATGCCATAGGATGGCATGGTGCCTGCTCACAGGAGTGGGAAGCCAACTTAATGAGGGTACAGATGAGCACTGCGAGTGGATTTAGATTGGCATCCTGCTGGTTGCTTCTATGCCAGTTCTCCAGCTGAAACTGGCCTCTTTTCTGCAATTATTTTTATTTTTGTTTTTATTTTTATTTTTAAATTCTAGACTGAATCTATCTGGAAAGGAATGACTGCCTGTTAGCACTAGGAAGTTATTCACAGACAGCACGTGCTTTCCTCTAAGGAGGATCTGTGGTGAGGAATGAGTCATGCACTGTGAGTCTTCCCTGTGTGTGGATGCCAGGACCTTGGTGCCACTCTCTGCTGACTCCATCAGATGCGATGACCATCCCTGCTGTCATCCCATGCCACGTGTATGCGTTCAGTGAGTGTCTCTTCATGTTGTGGTGGGGAGAGTGATGGAGGCACATCCTAAATTCTGAGCCACTGTTCTCCTAGGAGACAAGAGTTGACATTTATTGACTGGAAGGTCCTAAACATCACGGTAGAAGTATGATGGATTCATATCTCCATATATTTGTATGAACCAGCAATTCATAAATAACAACAGCACACAATAATGGAGCAAGAAAAAAAATAAAATCAAGCAATCTTGAAAGGAAAACAGGGATGGGAAAATGAGAAGTTATTATTTGTCTGTTATTCTAATTACATGGGGTTAAAACCAGACTAGAAACATCTGCTACTTTGATTTTATTGCTCAGTCTTTCCTCCTAAGTGGAGCACTTCAAGAGAGCAGGATCTGACCTGAAGTAATCCATAAAACTGTATTCATTACTTAGGTTTTCTTTTTGTGCTGATTTAAAGGTTTGGCCATTTTGATTTCCTTTGGATTAGCTGAGCTCAAGGGAACTCTGAAGGAATGTGCCATTGCTTTTTGTCCGTGGTTTTTTATGTGATGCAATGGATTAAAACTTTAATGCAGGCAGTCATTAATTGTCAAAACCAAAGATACCTCTAAACTTCTGTCTATGATTATGCCTGTTCTGCTATATTTGGGACATGTTATGGTTTCTATCATTAAGAAGTCCTCCTTTTAATGCCCCATAATGGTTAAAAGATAGCCACAAAAATGATGCATATGGACAAAATATAACGTGAAATTACAGGTTTCCATCCTGAAATGAAACTACTGATGATGCATACGCCAGACAGGAATGACACAGAGCAGAACTGTTAGTAAACACAGGGTAAACTATAAATATGCTTAAGACAGACATCACGCATTGTTACAAGTGACAAGCGTTGCACTAGAAGAAAGAAAAAAGATCACAAATCTAGACAGACAGCATTACTATAAGTTGTATAGCTGCATGATTCATTCCCCAAAGAAATCAATGTCAGGATGACATTTTTCTTCAGGCAGTACTGGCAACTGCTCGTAATTTGGGTAAACTTTCTCTGCCCTATAAAAACAAACCATCAAACCAAAAGGTAACCACTGAAACAGCTACCACTCAACCAAAAAAAAAAAAGTAGTATTTTAAACAGAGCACAACATAAAACTGCATGAGTCAATCTACCGTAAACTTTCGGCAAATAGGATGTGTCATAGAGATCAACTCTGGCGTTTCCAGAGAGCAGAGACTTATACAGCAGGCTTTTTAGAAACAGACTTCGCTCCAAATAGTAATTCCCTATTTTCAATAAACTCTGACTGGCTGCAACTAGTTATTTCTCCTGATACAGACAGCCAAAATAACGGACTTGTAAATAGAAGCCTATGGAGTTAGATTAATTACAGGGATTACATATAGCATTCTCAGCTTTTAAAACAAGAAGGGATCATTATGATGATCCCTGCTGACCTCCTACGTAACAGAAGCCTTGCAATGTCACCGAGTGATTCCTGCTCACAGCTGCAGGTGGTGCTGGGAAGTTTCATGTACAAAAATGTATATTTTTTATTTAACTATGTCCAGTGAGTGAAAATGCACCAACTAACTTGTTCTGGGGGCCAGTTATGCTAATTATACAGCCTGCTAGTTCTTTCATTATGCATTCCGCTATGTATTTATTTCAGCATACTTAATGCATGTGGCTGTATTAATAAAACAGCGCATTAAAGTATCCACAACTTTCTATCAATTGTAGGCACAAATGCCAAACAGTTCTACATCTTGTATCCCAAAAGCTGAGTGATGGCACCGTGCATCACAGAGAGCAACCTTCATCCTGAAACACTGCAGTTCTCACCGGTGAACTCTTTTGGCACATAACGATGCAGGTTTCTTGGTTTACTCCTTTACACTAGATAACAATCCTGAGGTAAAATGATTTTATCTTGTTGCAGCATGCAGTGTTCTTGACAAACTCCTCAGCTATTTAAGTTGGTGGCTTTAGTATCATCACTGTTTTTCATGGAAGGAGGTGACTGAGATGTTGGTTGGGTGTTTATTAGTGACTTTGGTTGGTCTGTTTTGATGTTCTGTAAAGTCTTTGTCAAGAAAAAACTGAACTCAATTATTTGGAACAAAACCTCAACATTTTGCCTGAATATCCTTTTTGATGAGACATCCAGTTTGATAAAGGAAAGAGTCATTTCCCCATCATGCATGAGAAGATGATTTGGTTTGCAAAACAGCCAGTGCACTGGTTAAAGAGAGAGCTAAGATAATTCTATGTGAGTCAGTTTGGATCCAGAAAAGCTGAAGAGTTCAAGCTCAGTGCCACAGTATTGCTTACGCAATTACTCCCAAGAAAAGTTCGGGTCCAAAATGAGTTTTATCTGTATTTTTCCTTTCCCTGAAGTATCTCATGTTTTCAGAGGGTGGAGCATTAATTGTAATAGATTTCTGTAAAGCATTTGACTTTGTACCTCTATCTGGGGTAAACATAAATTCCATGATGAATGACAATAGTAAAGCCAGATAGCTCTTTTATTCCCACTTTTTACACTGCAGAGGCACGTGACATGAGGTCTGAGAAAGGTGCATGCTGAAATTGGAAAAGAGATGAGAACAACAGAGAGTATCCCAAGCTGCCTTTCTGTGGAGATCAGATAGAGAGAAAAACATGGGGAGTATCTACAGAACTAGAGTAAGCTTCCCCAGTGGGTCTTTGAATGAAAGAGTAAAACTCCAGAGAAGAAGTTTTGAAGGCGCACTTTCAGAAGGACAGTGAAGAGTTAAAGATTTGTGATGGAAAAGCAAAAAAGCACATCGGTGTTTCTCAGCTTTGTACTAAATCCTTGTGAATTATATAACATGAAAAACAGAATGTGTAAATACAGAGCCCAGTCCCCCTCTTCACCTGGTTCACTTCTACACAAAGGCATAAACTCACAGTGTGAAAAGGTATATACAGAAGAACTTAAGTGTGGACTTACCAAAGGTCCTTCCATTCCGAGTGATTGCCTTTCACCTACTTTGGAAAGCAGAAAGAAAAAAAATGCAGGCTGCATTCAAAAAAGAAATTATATGTAAAGATTGCAAGATTTAAGCAGAAGACAACCCAGCAGTTCAATTTTGTGTCCTTTAATGTTTGCAGTTTGTCATGGCTCATAAATCTGTATTATGTTTGGTGCTGAAATTCCTGAAGTTTGTAGAAGGGGAAATCACAAAGAAGGCTTGTTACATTTAATGTTTACAAACAGTTTATCTAATGTCAACATCCCAACAAGGAAGCAATGGAATTTATTCCACCACTTGAATACTACCTGTTGCATAGTTCAGTTCAGTGAATCATGCTGCAGAGCCATAAAATAGGCCATTGTTCTCAGACAATTCCACAGAATTTTACTAATTTGATTTGATTTTTCTTAAGACAGAAAATCTAATTAAAAAGAAGAACAGTCTAAATGTCAATCCTCAACTACAGAATAATTCTGACAGATCAAAAATTTGGTAGTTTTTTCAGTTTAAAAGCTATAGATGTACTGGCTCACCTAAGGGCTTTTCAGCTCCGTTGACAGTTTCCTACTGCCTCTTAGGGCTGGTGTCTGTGTGAGAACATGGTGAAAGCTACCAGTAATTCAAATAACTCCTTAAAAATCAGTAGCTGATATGGCTTTATAGACCATACAGACCATATCTGGGCAGCCTGGTCTAGTGGCTGACGACCCTGCCCATGGCAGTGGGGTTGAAACTGAATAATCTTTATGGTCCTTTTCAACCCACGCCATTCTATGATTCTATGATTCAATAATAATTTTGCAGATTGTTGTCTTCTACATCATTCCACAACTCTGTCTAAGAACTGTGTCCTCTTCAGCTTCCTGAGAGAATCTACCACCATCTGCATCAGAGATCAAAACTGCGCAATGCTGTTGATAGTCACTTGGGAGCTATTAGCATAACCTCTGTTTCTCTATCTTTTATTTTTATAATACTCACTGACTGGAAAAATGAATAAACATGTGACTGTAAACTGACATTTGGAAAATCCAGAACTTTCACAGAATAGTCACGCGGATGATCACTTGTTCTCCATTTCTAAACTTTGTAGTGGTCTATGAGACAAAAAAGACCTCCTTCTGGCAACCCCCAAAGGTGAACAAGTTAGAAAAATAGCTGTACTTGGATACTTCGTTTCCTGACATCAAAGCTTCTTGAGAGCGAAATGTGCTATTATGATGGCATTATTCTTTTTTCCTTCCTGTAAAAGATGTGGCAGATGTTCAGCATTCATTTGCGCATTTAAAATTCTGATTCATTCAGGAAATCTGGATAACAGAGTTGCCTAGGATTCCTGTCATCCTGTAGTCAGAGGTAGCATTTTTATTCGGATAATCTGGACCAGCAGTGGTCACCCCATATGTGGGTGTACACTGGAGGAAAGGCTAAAACACAGGAGGAAATTTTCATTGAACCCAGTGCACTGAAGTAGGCTATACCTGACACTGCTTTAATCATTGAGGTGGCAGCTGTGCCACCTGCTCATCTGGAAGCCCTGACCCATTTTTGTACAAAAACTTGTTACTCCATCCTGAGAAGTTCTAACATCTCTTTTGCTTCCAACAGGTCTTTGAAATAGCTATGAGAAGGGTGTGCACATACAAATGTGGTAGAAGAAAAAGGAGGGAGCAGGAGTTCCACAGAACTGCTTTTCCAGAGATCTTAAGCATCCCAGAGATCCAGAGGAGCAGAGGAAAGCTGTGACAGCTTGGCAGCACCACAGCCAGTGTGCCTGTAGCTCCACTGCTGCCAGTGCAGCGGCACAGGGTGAGCCAGTGTCTGATGGGATGCTGGAACAGCTGTGTCCATCGCCCTCTTATGCCCTTCTCCAAGACCTCTTTTCCACCAGCTCTCTCCACACAGTGTGTGTGGCTAGTAGTGAGCTTTCTCTGTCAGCTGGCTTCTGTGGAGCAATTACAAGCAGTCAGAACTGAAATCCCATTGATATAGAAGAGGTGGGGGGAATTTAGGCTTTCTTTAAAATACAAATTAGCAATACACACTTGAAACTCACACTTCCTTTATTTTTTCTTTCTTTCTATGAGTGGAAAATCAAGTGCTTTGAATTTGGGAAATGCCAGATATTTTTCTGTCTAGCCAGCTTAAATTTAGTGTCGTGTTTGCGTGTTCTGGTATGATCTTCAGTTGCCTTCACTGTGGACTCTGTCTTCCCAGGGGCCCAGATTAAGTTCAGTCTGGTTACAAAATCAACACTTTGAAATTAGGAAGTATGAAACTTGGGCTTTCCCACGTATCCTTCATTCTGCAACTTCTCAATTTTATTCCTAACTTCAATAAACAATGTCAAAATTAAGGCAATTGGGTCAAATGCAAAAATATGATTTCCTTATTTCTGAAAGTTTGATTTTGTAAATGTTGCAGTCCATTAATGCTCTTTTTTCTTTTTTGTAAGTAATGAACGATATAGAAAAATTCCCTTATATCTTAATAATCTTACAGGATCAGCAGTGTGAATGGGTTGTGGGTTACCAATACAACATCACTGCACTATGTATCAGTTCATTCATTCATATGCACTCGTCGTCACTTTTCAAGTAACTGAAACCAAGGCTGTTACAAACTTCAAGACATTTGAATGAGAAAAACCAATAATGTTTGGGTTGTCTGTGGAAATTCAGCCTTTGTACTTAATAGAGGAGTAGAATTATAAGAAAACTGGCAGGTATTTTAAAATCAATAGGAAGAGAACCCCTCCAGAACCCCAAACAAATTATTAAGAAGTTTTAGAAAACAACTTCAGACAGAACAAAATCCAAATATTATAGACACTTCTAAATTCTTACTATTTTGAGTCCTGCAGCAGGCTGCTGAGCTGAGGCTTGGCACCTTGCTTTTGCCCTGGTTAGTGACCAGCTGCAGATCTGGACATTCAGTGTTTTGTTTATTTACCGGGTTAGCCTTTATTGTAACCTCTCCCTTTCCTTCATGGGAATGTCTAAAGTGAATCTAGTAATAACGATATCCTAGAAGTTCTCAGCTCTAATTTATTTTCTTTTTCTGCAAAGAATCCTTTGCTGACTTTTTTGTACTGCAGAGCCAGTGGAGCTGAAGAAATGCAGTTGAATTGTTAAGACACAGCCTTTCCCAAATGGCTTTTCTCTGTTGTAATACATTGACTAAATATGAGAAAGTTTTCTGCATCAACAGTACTTTGCTGCATCAGTGTGTGTTGACCCCTTACAAGAAGTAAAAGCTGTTTGCTCTAAGTGCCCAAAGGCATGTGAACTCCTGCTGTTTGTATCTATAAACTAAAGTGGTTAAAAGTGACTTGAGTTTTGAGAAGATATTACTGTGAGATATTTGTTTATCTGAAACAGAATGACACTTGGTATCATTTTTGGACTAAATGTGACTAAGCACCGTTTTGAGTATTAAAGAAACAGCCTAGCATCCGCATGGGGAAAATTGTTAGGGGTGGTTTATATCATCAGCTGGTTTGTTTGTTACTTTGGGTTTGTTTCAGCAAAATGAGTGCAGCACTTTCTTATCTTGGGGATACATCTCAGTCCTGAGACCTGAGAACACACAAAGCGTGCAGGCTATTGTACTTTTGTAGTGTAAAAGGGATGAGGCTTGACCCAAATTCTTGCCTTATGCTTCAAAGCAGCTCTTGTAGGAGAAATAGCACTGCTTCCAGATTCTGTAATAGGTACCACATGCATAAAGCCTCTTTAAGACTTATTACTAAGCCTGCATTTAAAGTGAATTTTGCTCTGAAGAGAAGGTCCCTTGGGAAGGGCAGGTGGGAAGCCTGCAACATCTCCTTATACGTAATTTGGGGAAATAAAACCTTTTAACAGTCCAGCTTCACAGCTGGCTGATTTCACAGACTGTCAAAGATGGGTTCATGTGCTCAACCTTGAGCACACAGACCTTCCTTATCAGTTTTATGATGTTTTCCTGTTACTTTCAGGTTTCCCTTGGCTAGAAGGAAATGAGCTGAAAAAATTGATTAGATATTAAGGTGTCTTTTATTATTACGGAGAACTCCTATAAAAATTCCTCGGTGACTCCACTTCCTTGAACACTTGTCAACAGACTGCCCAGTGGAATGAGAGTCCAATAGGAAAAGAGTAGGTTTAGATAAATTCCTTGACAAAAAGGTCTAAGTTAACAAAATTAAAACCATTCCTCATATCTTTTCCCCAGGCACGCATATTCTTCCACTTGCAATCCACAGAGAGAGGTGTGTGATACAGAAAGGGGAATTTGGCTCCAAGGTAAATTTCTCAAGAAATCTTTCTTGAAAATTAAGACCTCTGTGGTATGTTTTAAAATTATTTTCAATAAAGGCTGCAGTTTTTCTTTTCATCTTGATACTCTTCCAGGCTCTCAAGCTTCAATGTTAAACAAAAAAATGAGTCAACTCTGATTCAGTCCCAACACAGCACCTGGCTCTGAGAGCATCCACTGCTTGTCCTGATTCTTCAAACCATGTGTCCAACAGCTTTACCTACACAGCTACCTCTTTGATTTGCAGCCTTCTGTATCCTTGTTGGTTGGTTGGTTTGTGCTTTTATGTTATTGTGTGTTTGTTACTTTTTTTTTGTCTCCATGTGTGAAAATATTATAGGTTCTTTTGTAAACGCATTCAAAGTGATTTTCCAGTCACTACAGCTAACTTGTGGTAATTCTGGCCTTGTAGGCCAAACATATGAAAAAGATTGTTCCAGTAAGGTCTCCATAAGTTGATCAAAGCCTGCTGAAGTTGAACATGTAGAACTGTTTGGTTGGTGACTGAGCTGGAGAAAACTCTCAAAGAAGGCTGCCATTCCAATATACGAAGAACTGTAACATCTCTTTTTCGGAAGAAAATGAAGGTAAATTTCAGAATGCCATGTTGTGTAGCAGTTTTTCCATGACATACAGCTATTTTACACTAAAAATGGGTCCCTTAGTAATAATTTATGGAATCAGATTGAAGCACCAGGACTGACAGATGCAACGTGAAGAGGAGGGCTGAGCAGTGCAAGGTTTAATGCAGTCACTTCACTACATTTCACTCAGAGTGTAAATATTAAAACCACCTGAGTAGTTAATAAACTGTGGTGTAGCATTTTCAGTAGCTAGAAGTGTTATTATTCTGCTATTTCTATAGATAAAATGGACCACGCAGGGAAAAAAACCCAAAATTGTTGTCAAGGTGTAGTTTCAATGGATGTTGTTGAACGTGGGATTTTTATTTTGGATATGACTGCAGTTTATGAATACCCACAGATAATTCAATAGGAGAGGAGAAAAAAGTTGGTAGTCTTGCTTGTCCAAAACCTCCCTCTTTGATTCCCACAGGCATATGCAGTTGGCCTACAGCTAAGTCTGTTGGGCATGGCAGCTTCTTGGAATATTTGATGTGGGTTTGTGGTAACTGCAGTAGAAAATTTAATTAAGAGGCATAAACTCTACAAATGGGTTCAATATGCCTACTGATCTTTCTCTTTTATTCTTTTCACTTTTCTATCAAACTCTATTTTCTCCAAGGATTATTAAAATGTTAAAATACTGGGAATTATTTTGTCACTATCTGTTTTGTACCCTATATCTTAGTTTCATCTTGAAGCAATATTGTGCACCTGCTATGCATAAGTATTTATAAAACGTCTTACACAATTTTTGTAACTACTGTAGAAAGAATCAATGTTTTGTTACATTAAATATAGGATTAGTATTGCAACTATTCCCTTAATAATGAAAAATTGCTGCTCTTCCTTTAAAACACTCTAGCACTCTGGAATATGTTTCAGTAAGTTGCTCTGTGTCTCAGAAATCAATAATTTCAGCCTTTACTTTAAGTCAGCCTCTACCTGTGTCACTGGATCATACAGATATAATTCTCTTAGCTTTGTTTAGAGAAATACTTTTGACAAAATAGATCCCATTTTGTGAGCGTGTTAATGAGAGAAGGAGCAATTTCTACTGCTGAAAGGCTGGATTAGAGTTTTAGCCTCAGCAGAAGGCTTGGTTATCTACAGAAAGCTCATTCAGTTTCTGTCACAGATTAGACTGCTTCCAATAGCTGTCATATATATTACTTTTTCCACTTAGATCTGTGTAAGCACGTAGAAGGAAGATGCACAAGACTTACTGTGTTATCAAACCAGTCTCCATTAGAGAGTAGGAGACTCCACTAGGGAGAGTCTAGCAATTTCTGACAGTTAAACTCATCTTCCTTCACCAGAGAATTCATGCAGAGTATATTTCTGCTGTTAGAATATGTTCTTATTGCAAATGATAAATCCCTGAGAGAAAAGTTTGTCATGGAAACACTGACTGCTCCTTAAATGACTGTGAAACAAGAATGCTAGGCGATGCTTATGGAAAACAAGAGCATATTTCACAATTAGATCTACCAATCCTACCTTTATATGGACAAGAGGAAATTAATGGTTCAGCTTCAACCCAAAGGCAAAGCCAGCCATGCTGGCTGTATTGCACCGATCACAAAGTTGGTCCAAGAGTTTAGTTATATCCAGCTTTCCAAGATCTTACAATCTAACTAGTATCAGGCAGCCAGGGGAATCATGGAAAGAAAAACAGTACCATAGGATGTGGCACTTGTGATTCAGCAGATGACATTCTTCACCCTGAGTCAGTCATGCAACAACAGCCAGCTTCCCTGCTGGGCTGCTCTCCTGCAGGTGAGTCCCAGTACTGAGGCTCTGAGAGCTGACTTCTGCATGCCATGAAATGTTGGTTGACATTTGTCACAAGAATAGCTGCATCTGTCTGGTGTTTTGGTTATATTACAAACTGAGTAATCACCTTAACGTCTTGCCTGCTCTAATTACCCATGGTTGTTTCTTCTGTGCTTCCTTCCTCTTGCTCTGTGTCATGCTGCTGGCACAGTTGCAAAAGCTGCTGCATTTCTAGGGGTGATGAATTCTGCTTGATGCCCAATGGGATCTGGCTAGATTTCAGTGAGAGCTGAGATGTTTCTGTGTTGTTCCCTTTTAGCTTGTAGCTCTACTGAAACAAAACAAATTATTTGCCTTTCATATTTTGAAAGCGGTGGGGTTCTTGTCAAAATAGGGATACCACTTGCCTGAGGTGCACTGGAGACATGTGCTGTACCAGTAAATAATACATAGCACCACAGGCATCCAAGAGCACAAATAGGGTTCCACTCCCATGTAGTTGGCTGGAGTCAGTTATTATAGTTTATTTCTAGCATATACTTGAAGCACTACCAGCTAATTGTTAGCCGTGTGTGTCTACCTCAGGAACACTCAGCACATGATCACAAAGAATGAGCACTTCACTCTTTGCAGCTTATTTTTTAAATAAGGCTTTTTGTAAACATGGAAAAATAAGCATTGCAATTAATGCTAAGGACCAAAGTTTGCTAGGTAATAAAAGCCCAAATAAACATAGTTCTGCTGAACGTAAGTTGATTTTTTATCTAGAAGGCTGTAATAATAACTGATTTATTTTCAGTGGAAACTACTTAATCAAGTGTAAATTTTCAAATGACTCTGAGGCTCAGAAAATATACAACAATATCTGTTTTCAGTTGATTTTCATGGTGACATAGTGGAAAATCTGATAGAACTTCAGCCACTGCCTTGCTATCAAATGCTGCTGTAATTCCAAATGAACACAACCTGTTATCTGCTTGCTCAGCTGCTTGCTTTGCTTTCACTGTGATGTGGAAAAATGTTGGTTCTTTGGTAATTTTATTAATTTTACTGCCTGAGAATGGTTCTTTTGAAATTATTCTTCTAATCAAAACATGTAGCAGAAAACATTCTTTTACTTGTTAGAAACTTGATCTTGGTAAGTATTGAGTGTCTTTTTGCTTGGTTCTGTTGGTCTGAAAGAGCTGAGCACTCAATGACTCACAAGACACGTTGGCACCTGGCAGAGCCGTGCCCTTCATCAATCTATGTGGTGCCTGGTGGTTTCAGTTGGCAAAAATTTATGCAAACTGTTGCCTTGTATTGTATTATACATTCCAGGCTAAATGGCTTTGCAAGCCTGGAAGCTTGCTTTGAGCTTCAAATTCAAGTGTTTCTGAAGCATTAATGTAAAAATTTCTCAAGGTATCACATGTCTTGACTTTCACAATGAAAGCAAACAAACGGTAAATTTCCTAAAATTTTGGTGGAAGAAAACTATGCAGTATCATTATGTTTGCAATTCAGAGCAGATTCAGAAGCTATGTCAATATTAACGGTCCTTTTGATACAAATGCTGTGAGTTAGGAATCACTTTCTAGATCCCAATCACAGCACACTTCATTGAAACCCTGAAACAAGCAATATCAATATGGTCACAGTCAAAACTGTTTCACTCAGTTCTGTTAGTAAGGGGCCAGCCTGCATCTAGCTTTTGCCAAAACTCCCACTGAAGTCAACGGAACTTTGGAGCACTCAGCAAGCATATCATCTTACTTCAATTCCTCAGTTATTCTTTGATCATTTACAGATTCTCAATGCTGGTACCTGTGCATTTATGCAGGTCCTTTTAACCACTTCATCCAAACTGGCAGCTTATCCTTTCACAACTACAAGTGTACTATGAGTACACGAGTACTGTCTTAAGCACTCCTTTTGTGCAAAGACTGTAAGTGAATGCACATGAAACTATATCTCAAGGCAAGAACTTATGCCTTAAGAATGTCATTGTAAAATGGGCCATGAGTTCCATTTCAGGTATGATTTTCTGGAGCTGAGGACTGTCTGCATTGCAGAGCTGATTTCAGTTATCTTTTTATAGTCTACTATAAACCTAAATATACATTATATCCTGACATTATGCATAATGGTACTTCTAACTTGAGATATTGATCCATATTGCCAGAGGGGCTAATCCAAGCTTCGGTTAACACAGCTCATTAGTTATTAACAGGACTCAAGCTGCCTCCTTTTCCTTGCTGCTATTCCTTCGCTGTCTTCCCAAAACTTCTCTCTTGCACAAAAAGGCAGGGAAGTTTTCTCTCAATTTGCACAGAAGCATTTCAGACCTACAAGTTGTATGTCCAAAGACTGAGAGCATGTCCTGTGGCCCCACAGGGCTTCACTCCATGCACAGATGGCTTCAATCCAAAGAAAGCAATTCAGGTGGCACTTCAAAGGGTGACCAGTACTGGATCTAAGCACGAGGATAACCTGAGCTTAGATAACATAATAACAAAGTCAAGTTATTCTCCCATGTTCTTCAAAGTGTTACTGAAATGTCAGTGAGACTTAATCCTTTTGTGCTCTTCAGCACCCGTAAAAATCAGACCACAGCTCTTTCTGTGCTGAAGCAAAATTCAAATTTTTCAACAGCAACCTCCAAGTGAGGAACAAACACAGGGAATGTTGTATCCCGGGACCTCATCTACAGGTTGCATATTAAACAGTTTCTAAATGAAAAGGTGGCTCACTGTGCTATAAACTAAAGTCATCATTTTGAGACCTACAGCCCACCGGAACGAGGGGACAGGATGGAGTGGCCTTTTCCAGTATTCTCCACCCACTGACCTAGAGTATGAAACCCACAGAGTTCTTGGAACTGCAAACAATGTTTGAATTCAGACTAAAACTGGAAAACAGAAACAGGCCTTTTTTT